GACTGGAAGGGAATGGTGCTCCATTTGAAACAACTATTTACTGAGTATAAGTACATTATAACAGCATTGATAGCTCCATTATCACAGTGTGATTCTATCAGGCTCAGTAAGGTTGCTAAGTAATCAGTCAATTGCTGATCTTTGTTAAGAGCAAAGTTCTGAAAATAAGAAGAATGCTGTATGGAAAAGTATTGCTTTTGTTTTTGTTTCTATTGATGAAACTTAGTTATTTTAGTAAAATACTGGCATGTTTTATTCAGAGACAGAACTGCACAGCAAATCCACCCTTATAATACTGATGTTTTAATGTGAAGCCCTGCCATACCAAATAGCACTACTATACAAGGTCACTTTGACATGCAAAAGAAAAATGGATAAGAAGAAAATAGAGATGCAAATCTGATGGGCATAAGAAAGTGATAGGTATCACATTTGAAGCAGGTCATCTGGAGGAATAAACTGCTAGTTTCAAAACTGATACCCTCACAGATATAATGATGGTTCAGAAAATAGCTGCCATATCAGACAAGAGTCAGATTGCCTATTATGGCAACAGCCAGATCACCTTTACAATTGCCTGTTGCAAAATGGCATTAAAAAACTAGCTGGATCATTGGGCAATCTGAACACTGATGCCAGCATGTGAAAAATACTGTCTAGAACCTTCTGAATTCCCTTACTACTGTGTTCAGGGCACTTAGTATTTGTGGCATTAATGTTTCCTGATGTTTGCTGTTTGGAAACTTGCATTTCAGATCTGTCTGGTAGATCTTATTTGGAGAAGTTTTTAATAGAAATTCTAAACCTTTGTTTTGTGAAAACTTGATCATTTAAAGCAGCAGAATTACATGGCAAATCTATTAAGCCTACTCTTGCTACCTTAATTCTACCTTAAATATCTGCAGAATTACAGTGTAGACTGAAAAACCTTGCCAAGTGTCAGAAAAAAAAAGGATTAGGGAATGAAATAATTGACAAAGAAAAATCTTAGAGGGATATTAATTAGAATATTGGATATTCTGACTGAGAGAACATCTTTAAAATGATGTTAATTTATCATTTGGTTAGATTGAGTCTCCTGGGAGAACTGAAGATATGCTAGCTAGGAGACAGTGCTGATAGAATAAAAGACAAAGGGATGAAGATTTGTGGGCTTGCTCTGCTCTGGAGCCTGTTCATTCCCAAGTCTGTCCAGGCTATAGTAACACCTGTTCATAATAAGAAGATATTTGCATTGAGTATAAACCAAGAGGTGTTGATCGTGCTACTTTCTCTCTACAGTGAATAAGCTTCTGTAGTAACTCTCGCAGACAATGTATCAGAGCAGCTTAGTTTTACTCTATTCCAGTGACTTTTTCAGGAGTGACAGGTGACGCATCCTCAAAGAGAAATCATTGAGGCACTTTCCTTCTCCGTTAGAGCAACAAGTGTTTGGCATCATTTGGGTCCAGGTGAAAATGAAGTCATATTCTTTGCCATTTCAGAAAGGATGGTTATTCCTTGAATGGGTTACAGGATAAGTTATTTGGGGATGGATTTGTTTTTCTACATTTCTGTAACATTTAGGTGTGAGCTCTTGGATAGAACTGTTCAAATCCAACTCTGATTTTGGACCCAGAGCTGTAATAGTTCTACAGCAGATACTAAGAACACAATTTTGAGGATTCTTGGTGCATCTTCATAAAGGCAGAGATGAATGAGCAACATTATCTTCCCTTTTCTGACTACCCATAGCCTCTTGTAATCCTGTTTGTGTATCCTGTAAGGAAAATGACAGGAGGTATGGCTGTGGCATGCTGAGAAGTTGAAGGTACAGTGTAGCACAATGTACACATTGTGTGCAAAGAAGTTCCTAGAGGATCCAAGCTACATCTGAGTCACGAGCAGCTTCCTGTCCTCCAAATGTGGACTTAGGTAGAAGAAGCGTGCCTGTAGTAAATGTGAGTTTTGGAGTGAATACGACAGCATTTGTATGAGTTCGTGTGGAGAACACTGTAAAAACCATTTGTATGATTCCTCCAATTATCCCTGCAAGGATAAAGTTTAGACAAAGTTTAGTTCTAAGCTAAAAACAAAGCATATACAAAATTTACTACTTATTTTTGTCCTTTTTTAAAACAAACAAACAAACATGGGTTTGCAGTATTAATCATGGTAGCTTTTGTTTACACACAGGGTCTAAGTTGATTACTTATATCTACTTGTATATTGTCTGTACAGCAGTGTTCAGTCCTTGAAAAATGAAAGAAAAAGTGAAATTAGAAATCACAGCTGGAATCTGTAAAGGTGGATGTTGCAATATGGTACAGTTTTCAGGGGAAGTGAATATAAAGAGTTGGACAGAGATATACATAGCGAATGACATTTTTATTTTTACTACGTAAAATTTGGCAGAGATCTGGAAGTGTATTTCATGATAAAAACAGTTAAGTATCGTGCAGTTCAGATCATTTGGCTGTTGTATACTAGGAAGCTTGTAAACTAAGAAAGAGTTCAAATCATTTGCACCCTCGATATTTTATTTGTGCGTCTGGTTAGAATCAAGTTATGCATGTGTGAAAAGATGGTTTGGGGGGAATGGTGTCACTTTTAAACAGATTAATAAATAATGATGCAGTGATATTTTATGAATAATCATTCCCAGTAAATTTTTTGGTGCAGTAGAGGGAAAATGTGTAATCTCATGCATTACTTTTCCACAAGAGAATTAGCAGTTCCACTTAAAATGGCTTAAAGATTTGTTGTTCTAAGACGTTCTGTAGCAGATGCTTTCAGTTTGAGTAGTTTACAGCCATATGGTAAAGAAGTGAACAAAATGTACTGCAGCTTTCTTTTCATCTTCAGCAGCTGTCTTGTAGTGTTTTAATATCAAATATATCTCAAACCTAGAAGAATTTTCTTTCATTATTGCTTATAGTAAAAATAGTCTTTAAATGTCAATCCTCACCCTTTTGGACTCAGATAGTCTGAATGTAAATATGCATGTATTTCCTTGTAAAGTGACATTTTGAACTCTCTCTGTCCTTGTTCTCACAAATGTTTATTTCATCATGATGTGAGAATCTTCTGCTAGAGCATTGAAGAATAAATAAAAATAAAAATTTGGTTTACTCTTTCTACTTCCATGGCAGCAGCAGCAAAATAAGCAAACTGACATTTGCATTTTTCATTTGCTGCATTGTAAAGCTTTGATTCATCCCAAAGGCATCTGCCCTTTTGGTTGAACTAAAGATATTTCAATAAACTTCCATAAAAACTCTTACAATGAAGCATAGAGGTTTCAATGCCTTGTCTGCATCACAAGGAATTTTAAAATTTACTGTCAATTTTCCAATCTTAGTGAAAATACAATTTTATGCAGTAACGCAATAACACATAATACATAAAAATATGCTGTTTATTACAAAGTCAAATACTAAAAAATACAAATTTGTTGATTCACTTTCATCTGTGGCACAAATGCTGTGGCTGCATTGCCAGTACTGCATGTGTTTTGTTCAATTTTGTGAGGAGGAAAAACCTGGGCAAATGAGGAATAATAACTGAGATATGCAGAACATACAGCAGAGAAATGTTGTTTTCCTTTCTCGTGGTATAAAAGCAAAGGAATATCAGAAGGCAAGAAGTGTGAGATGAAGATAGGTAGTTCTTTCATGTGTTTTAGTTCTCAAATCTTTTTCATAAGAAACTGTGAAAAACAAGAGCTTAATAAACTGTCACACTTCATTTGTTTAAGTCTATCCAAAACATCTGAAGTTGCCACCACCACAGCATACACTTGTTGCAGTTATATGTGTTATGATCTCTATTCCACTTTATAGGAGATACTGGGATAAGACCTGAGATGGCAGTGACTCATCAACTGTATTCTGATGCTCTTTGTAGACTGCCTTTAAACATCTTATGGTCTTCCCTAGTAGAGACAGGAAGCAGATTTGTTTGGATGAGGTGACTGGTCCACATGGCCATCCTTATTTAATCTGTGGGTGAATGAGCAACTACAAAGCTGTCATAGTATTATTTGTGTTCTTTGTCTAATATGCACTGAATTTATCCTGATTATTGAAGTTAGCTTCTGAACTAATAGTACAGCAGTCTTCACAGAGTGTATCTTGTACTGCTGTAACTACCGACAGCATAAGACGATGAGAGTGTTACAGCAAATCCATCTAGTAGAAACTAGTTTTTGATAATAATGTCAGTAAAATTGCTACCACAAAAGGTTCTCTCTTACAGTGTATGTTGACTTAGAGTTTGCTTAAGTTTGTCAGCTACACATGGTTCATTGTTAATTATAACTACCTATTTAGAGGCTGTTCTACTTCTCTGAGCCATTAAGATTCCTATAAAAACATGTAAAAATATAAGGAACTGGTTTTCAGTGTTGTTTGTTGTTGTTGTTGTTTGTTTGTTTGTTTTTTGTAATCTTACATATATTCAAAAAACGAAATACATCAAAATATATTGGTTTTAGAGTCTATGCGTCATCATGTGTAGATGCTATTGTGGTTTTTTTTTTTTTTTGAAATCTAATAATTTAACTCACTGTAGGACACAGGTAGAGTCTTAAATTCGGTGGTGGTTCCAGTTCTTAAAAAGATTTCCTTATCATTACTGTGGCAAAAGTGGCCTATTTCTGTTTTTTAAATTTGACTATAGAAACTATTGCTGTATGTATGTAACCTTTCAGTTGATTGTTATCATGAGTGTATTTTGTAAAAACAGACTTAAAGCACATGTAAAAAGAGATAAAAGATGTGGTCAGAGATTTTTAGCTGGAAGGCATTTTTAACACTGCATGGGTTCATTTCCTTTACTATTGCTGTCTTGCAGGTATTCAGCATTTATAGACATCATACCCTTGTAATTGAACTTGCATGAATCATTTATTTACTAGGCTGCACTTACGGGTAATATATGTCAAGGGAATTCATTTTTTATTACAGCTGATGTAGCCATTATGATGTCATAATATACAAAGAGACAGAGCTAGAGCTTTAACAGAACTTGTCTCTTAAATCTGTGAGCCTCAGTGCTGTTTTGTTTCTGTTGTGGAAGCAGAAGTGTCAGGCTTTGGTGTAACGTTCTCTCAACCCTTGACATTAACTTCCTGGTCAAGGTAAAGAAATGCTTAATCCTAGATATGGCAGTGATAATATCCACATTTGATTCTGCATTAAACAAACAAACAAACAAACAAAAAAACCCAAAACAACAACAATGTGGAAATCTGCTATGCAAGACTAACATGCTATTTTCCTGAGTTAAAATGAGAGCATATATCTTTTAAGGTTCCGTGAATGTTAGAGTAACTGACCTGAACTTCCTGATCTCAAATCTAGTGGTTTGTTTTCATTGAGAGTATCACAAAAGACCTCATTTCTATATTTGTTTCCAAACTTATTCTCTGCCAGCTTCTAGATACAGTAAGCATCCAGATGCCTGCTGAAGGCTTCCCCTCTCTCCTACATCTAAGAGATTTCTAATTTTTGAAGTCTTCATGTCTTTGAATGTCCAGTGCCTGAGTGAAACTGGTCACTTATTCATTAGCTTTCTGTGATCACTCAGAACTAGTAGCACATGCTGGCATACTAAATGACAAAAAACATAATTAATGGGCAAGATGATGCTTATATAGGATATTCTAACTACAGGAAATTTCAGCAGAAACAGAAATCACCATCTATTTACTATGGAAATGCTCTGAAATGAACAAGTTATAATAATTGAATAGCTTGTGATATCACAACGATATCACAATCATTTATCTCAGGTTTATAATATGAGAAGTATGTACTGCAGATTTCCAAGCCCCTTGACAGGATGGATGGGAGGGAGAGATGAGCGAGTTCCTCTGCACCATGATGTGAGTGGAAGATTATTTACTGCAGACAAAAAGCAGTTTGTTGGTCAAGTTTAATGACACGGAAAAAGTTCAATAAATAACCTCTGTGTTTTCATCTCCTATACAGCTATCAAGTAAATACCATGATGTGTAATTAGAAGATAGAAAGTGGAGGCATCAGAAAAAGAAACATCTTTGTCAGCCTGCCCCTACAGCTACAATAGTCAAGACACCATTTTGTAGACAAAAAAATGTGTCTACAATATGTATTTTAAACATATTGTAAACTATAAACATATAAACAGCTATGTATTTTAAACCAAAACATTGAAGAAGGAGCAACTTGCTTTTAGAAGACAACACACAAGGGGCTTTGGGAGATGAAAAACGCTTCCTGAATAAACACTTTCTTCTGATGCTTTTTATGCAGGAGTGAAAGGGTTGGTGCATAGGGGTAATATATTTGATGTTAGCCAAATCTCTGCAGAAGCATTTCCTTAAATACAGAGCTTAAATCTCTGAGAATGTCTGTTTTGAGAAGCTTATTTTTGAGTTGTAGTATCTATGGTCAGAGATGCCCTTTTTCTGAGGAGCCGAGAGCTATTTCAACCCATTGGTCAGATGCATCCCTTCAGCACTCGGACTGAGAAAAAAAAAAGCTAAACCTTTCCTTTAGTCTTTGTATTGTGGAGAATTGGATTTTCCAGGTTGGGATTTGCTGATTCAAATGTGAAAACATTTTTCTAGACAGGCATACATGAAAATGCAAATAAGCACTTTTATAAGAAAAATAATTTGAATAATCCTAGCTTAGAGCTCCTGCTCTTTATGGGAGAAAGCTTGCTGCTGTTCAGTCGTTTATGTGATAGTCTGTATTTCAGTAAAATTCAGGGCTCATTAGGAGCAAGCCTTCAACTTAAAACAAAGAGAGTAAGTCTGTACCTCTGTTCTTAAGTATCTGCTGTGTTCACACCAGTGTGTAGGGTGTCTGTGCACTATGCTGTTCAACAGATATCTGTAACTAGTAACATCTTAATAGTTGTTGCTGAATAGTAGAACTGTTAAGAGCTGCATACATACGTGTACACACACACACACACACACACACAGAGCATCATAGAATATTTTGAGTTGAGGTGGTTTAAAGATCATCTACTTCAACCCCCCTGCAATGAGCAGGAACACCTACAGCTAGATCAGGGTGCTCAGTGAGATTGAGATGTCTCCAGGGACAGGGCATCCATCACCTCCCTGGGCAACCTGTTCCAGAGCCTCAACATCCTTATTTCAAAAAACTTCTTCCTTATATCCAGTCTAAATCTCCTCTCTTTTGGTTTGAAACCATTTTCCCGTGTCCTGTCACAACAGACTATGCTAAAGAGTCTGTCCCTTTCTTCATTACATCCCCTCTTTAGATACTGAAAGGCTGCCTTCAGGTCTCCTCAAAACCTTCTTTTTTCAGTCTGAACAGCCCCAGTTCTCTCAATTTGTCCTTACGGGGGAGGTGTTCCATCCCTTGTATCATTTTTGTGGCCCTCATTTTTGTGACACACTCAAACTCAGCAGGTCCACATCTCTCCTTTACTGTGGACTCCACATCTGTACACAGTACTCCAGGTGAGGCCTCGCCAGTGCAGAGTAGAGGGCAATCACCTCCCTCATCCTGCTGGCCACATTTCTTTTGATGCAGCCCAGGACACAGTTGGCTTTCTGGGCTGTGAGGGCATATTGTTGGCTTATGTCCAGCTTCTCATCCACCATTATCCCCAGGTCCTTTTTAGCAGGGCTGTGCCCCATCCTTACATTCCCCATGTTATATTGATAGTGGAGGTTGCCGTGACCAAGATGCAAGACCTTGTACTTCAATTTGTTAAACTACTGCTCAAGCCTGTCTCTCTGAATGGCATCTCATCACTTGGATGTGTTGACTGCACCACACAGCTTGGTGTCATCTGCAAACTTGCTGAGGGTGCACTTAATCCCACTGTTGGTGTTACTGATGAAGATATTAAAGAGTACTGGTCCCAGTACTGACCCCTTGAGGGACACCACTTGTCACTGATCCAGGCACTGAGCACTGCTCTCTGGGTAGAGTCTCACACATACATACATGTACATACATACATTTTTACTGCAGAGAAAGTAGCCGAGCAAATTTCCTGAATACTACTTACGCTGATTTGTGTTATGCTCCTTCAGAAAGACGTTTTAGGATTGTGTGAAACTGTTTTTTTGTTGTTGTTTTGTTTGCTTGTTTGTTTTTTTGCAACATTTTCAAAAGACGTGTCTGGTTCAATTTCTGGTTCAAAAATGACTCTTTTTATTTTTGCTAAGTATCTGGAAACTGTAGTAAGGAATTGTCAGACCACCTTAAATTTAGAAGAAACTTTTAGTCCTTTCATTTGATTATAATCCATTTTCCCAGACCTTAATCCCAACAATTACTTTAAAATAAAAGAAAGATTTGAAGGGCTATTTTGAAGTGAAAAAATCTAAGAAATCTTTCAGTTATGCTTCTTTCAATGTGTCAGATAAGTTACTAACTATTATTGTAATTTATGAGAAAAGAATTAATGCATCATCTGAGAAGCTGAGGCTGAGCATGTACTTGTATGTACAAGTACATTAAAAGATAATTTGTTACCATTTTTCAGTTCCCACTTCAGGTTTGTCTTTTTTCTTCTATTTATGGCTGTTAAGAGAATTATGCTGAAAAGGAATTCAGTATTTCTAGATGGGAGAGGGGAAAAAAGAAGCAAAAACAAATTAAACTACCAATGAAAAGCATATTTTTCTCCAGAGGGAGACTAAGTGCCACCTAAAATTGAAAACAGATCAATGAGGTGCTTCATCAATAAAAATATACCATCTTCTGCGGTGCTACATGTGACCTGAGGCTTTGGGAAGCATGAGCTCACTCTGAGGTAGACAGGCAGAGCACAGTTGAGTGAGTTATATTCTCTTTTAAAAGCAAGGATTGTCTGCTAATTTATTGATTTAAGAGATAATTAATTCTAAAATTCAGAACTGGGAGCCAAAGAATTAGATTGCATGTTTCCATCTACAAGCGATGCACAAAACCTAAACTTGAGAAAACAACAAAGTGTATAGCAAAATTAAAGTGAACTCTGAGGATTATCTGACTTGCACTCAAGAGTTCATGGAGTAATCTGTCTGTAGATGGCTTCTAATTCTCATGTTACCAAATGAAACAAGAAAAAAAAAAACCTCATAAAAAAACCTCAACCCTATTATTCCAATTTTATTCCATTCTCTATGGGGAAATCAAGAGCATAATTTTTCTTTTTTTCTTTTAGTCTTCCATTCTTCTTATGGAGAACTATGATTTTTTTAGTTGATTATATTTCCAAACTGATTTTCCAGCAGAAACTCTCAATTGCAGAATAAAATCTTCCATTTTTCTTTTCATCATCTTATCTTTTTAAGTGTATCAGTGCCACTGCATGCCAGTTTTATGTGGTGGTATGCCTTATCAGTTTAATGAGATAGATTACAGGTCCTCTAAATCTCCAGCCTAAAGGTAATTCTCTTCCTCTTGCTGTCATCCTTTTCTCTAGGTCAGAATACAGAGAGGTTATTTCTTGTTTGCTATAGCTATGAAGCAGAGAGGTGACTGGCAGGTCTGTGCTAAACTTGGAGATCACTTCTGGAAGATTAAAAAAGTATGCTGTGTACTACTTCTTTTAGAGCCTTTTTGTAGCAAAAGAAGGTCTCTCTGTAGATATTCTTTACACAGCACTAGCTACATCTTCTCTTTGTTTTCCATATTCCATTTTCATGGAATAAAAGTCCTCTATCCCAAACTTCAGTTTCTGCTTTTATTTTCTTGGGCCTCAAAAGCAGTAATGTAGAATGTCTGTGATTCTTGATGGTTTTGGAACTGTACACAAACAGCTCCTGGAAGCATTGAAGCTAACTGCTGCCATGTTCAGCTCACACCTGCAATCTCATGGATACAGACAGTAAATCTTTCAAAAGAGGCCTTTGCTAAGTAGAAACTTCACAAGGGAGAAAGCAAGTCTTAGACTGGACTGGAAAGGCAAAGACTGCAATTTGGGGAAGTCACTTGAAGCATTGCTAGAAAACCCTAAAAAAGCAAATGCTCTTGTTGTATGTGGATCCGGATTAGTTGCTCTTTTTTTCCACTAAGGTATGACCTTTGTTTCACTAACAGCTCATTCTGGCTACTTTTTGCCTCCTTCATGTTGATCTAAAGTATTGAGAATAGCAGTGTGCCCAAAAGTTGCTCTCACTCTAAATTTGTAACTGCCTGGTTGACAGATATGACAAGGTAATCTGAAGAACCTCATGCAAAACCTAATCATTTCACTCTAATTTGAAAGGTATCCTTGAATAATTTACATAGCCTGGATAGAGCAACATGATGTTGAATTGAGCTTTTTATGTACAAACTGAAGTTTCATCAGACTTCTGTATGTTAAGTGCATGCAGATTCTCCTCTCTCCCCCATTTTTAATTAAACATCCAAACCTGTTTTCAGCAGTCAATTCTCTGTGTAGCTTATGGTAGTAAATTATATCTGTAGACATTGTTTTGTTGTGCAATAAGCTATTCCTAATTGGCGTTTCCTCTTTAATAGACTCTGTTAAGAATTATGTTAAAATAATTACTGCCAGAAAGCACAGTACAGAACTCTTAATTACTGGCTAACAGTTGTGTCCTTCAGATCCTTCCTCTAAGCTATGCTTTCATAGAGCATGTGCTTTTAATTTGAATTCAGCTCCGTAAAACTCAAGAGAATCTATTGTCTATCAAAGCCAAACTCATAATAACAAAGGATTTGTCACAGCAGATCAGACCTTAGGTCCCTATAGTCTAGTGCCATTCCTCTGGCATTGACTGTTTCTTGATTTTTTAAAAGAAGTTAAATCTCTTCCCAAATTGCTAATGCATCTTACCCGTTTGTGTGGCACTGCACATTTCTCTCTAAACCTTGCAGCATGTCTTACACCCCGAAGCATGAGATTTGATTACCTTTATTATCCTACTTTGTGTAGCTACAGATGTTACTAGAAGTCATAAAATTATTCTGTTCTTTTTGAAATGTAATTTTTTAATCTCAATGACCTGATCTTTTAGCCAATTCCATTCACAATGTAAAATAAGTGTTTTTTACAGTTTCTACATTTACCATTCTGTGATTTAAAGCTCCCTTTTTTTAATGTGAAAAAAAGAGGAACCTGATCAGATTTTAATATATCCTACCTAATTATGACTATCTCTGTGAAATTCCTTTTAAGTTGCATGTCATTTTTTGATGCTATAGTTTTGAACTTTGCTATTTCTTTAATTCCCTTTTATTTATTAGTTCATCTTAGAACTAATTTTTTTTTTTTTTTCCTATGGGAGTTATTTGTGTCTTTTTGTCTGCTTGTTTGTTGTTTTTTAAACTGAACACACATTTAAAATGACACAATGTTATGGTCTGAGGCATGTATTTCTTGTTTTTTTTGGAATATTTTCTCATGCCACAAGAAGTGTAGTAA